ACCTCTTGGTATTCTTGACTTTGGGAACATTAAACATGTTCTCTTAAATATACGGCTGTGATTTTCTTGAGACACTTGTCCAAAATCAAATCTTACTGTTGAAGAGACACCTCGAGTGTTGTGATTTCGTGAGACTAGATTTCAAGTAATTACTCCTTATTATTCCCTATTACTGTCGTAATCATGATTTATTGTATAGATTTTGGTAACTTACTTAAGAGTAGATTAAATCTTTACGCATTCCCTTATTATTGTGCATTCATTAAGATGTTTGTAAGACAAAGATTTCTTGAAAGTAAATGCTTCTATTCTCAACCTTTATTCCTTGTCAGGTTCTTTCCTTCCGTTTCTTTAAGTATACGTTTATTCGTATTTATTGACTGACTTTAAGATTTGAATAGCGTATATCTAATATGTGATTTCTTGGAAACTGCTACACTCTTTTCCCATTCCTTGATAACTTTGTCTCCCACCCTGCTTTTGTTCTACGTCATTTGTCTTGGAAATGATGAATTTTTCGTTTCAGTTCATGTAACTTAACTGCTATTTACTACTGATACATTTCTTCTCTCCATATATATCATACTCATCCTCATTTCTCTTCATCAATCCTTCAACTTGTTTATCCTTCTATCCTGTTCTTGCTTCACTATGTCAATCAAAAAATTTCTTGGCAATGAAGAAGTCATGGAAGTGATTTCTGAGAAAAGACCAAACCTACAAAGACTCAGAGACTCAGGGTTGCACATATCCACCAGCATGCAAATTCAAGGCTGGTCTGGCTACTACGTAATCTTGCATGAACCTATCTATCATGTCCTTGTGAAGGAATTCTGGACATATGCAAGAATGAGTGATGATAACAACTCTATCGAGTCTTCTGCTTTTGGTGTTCCGTTCATCATAACACCTACCTCCATCGCTCAAGCAATCAACCGTGTTTAATCTGGAGTTACCGTCGAAGATTCTAGTCTGACCTACTCCTTTGTTGAAGAACTCATTGGTATTCATGATGTTTCTCTCAATAGATATGAACCTTACAATCCTGAAGGGCTCCTTCCCACCGGCAAATTATGGTCTCAACTCCTGCTAACCAACTTTTAACCCTGAGGAGTGGCCAAAAATGCTTTGTCTCATGATGATAGACTCTTTATCTACTTCATGATGTACAATGTCCGGGTCAACCTGCCTCAAGCTATCTTCAATCATTTGAAGTACTGTGTTGAAATCTCCAGAAGTCAGCAATAAGTCATTCATTCCTTATGGTAGAATTCTATCAGAGTTGTCCTTCAAGGCTGAAATCATTGGATCAACTAGAATACTTGAACCAGAAAATGCTACTGTTGAAGAAAGGTGGGAGAGGGTTCATAAGGGGGAGGATTTTTTATGGTTTGTGGGCGGGTGTTCTTTCATAACTTGTTCTCTATTTTCATGCCTTTGATTAATCGTTTTTGCTTGCTTGTCTGCCAGTCTGTTGTTTTTAGTGGTTGTTTTGTTCTGCTTCTTGCTCTTGTACCTGCGCATCTGGCGTTTTTAATCAATGAAAATTATCTTTTATTTCTTCTCTTAAATCTTATTCCATTTCTTTATGATTGCTAACAAAAGGGGAGAAGTATTGATTTTAATTTACCTAATTTCTCTTGAATCAAACTAATACTCTAAATGATTGCACTGACCATTATTTACATTTTTAATTATGACAAAAAGGTGGAGTATTAATAGAAAATTATTTTAATAAAAATATCTTGTCTTTGAATCATAGCTCTGACATTCCAACATTTTATATTACACACAATTTTTTTAGAATGTTTTTCAGGAACAATATTGATATTTTGGCAATCAGGCTCTGATTTAACCAATAAGGCTCTTTTATATAATCAGACTCCATTACCACTATAATCAAGCTCTGTTATTCTGCATCTGACAAGATCTTTATAATCAGGCTCTGGTATCCCAAATCTGATAAGATTTTTTAAGTCTTAAATTCAGGGGGAGTTTGATAAAGGGAAGTTATTTCTAAACTTATCTCTATCATTTCCTATTGGTTATCTTCGTACAAAAATTGTTTCATCAAAATACATTGTTTTGCCATTTTCAAAAATGGGGAGATGGTTAGAACAAGATTGGTTCTGAAAGATATCTACAAGTTTTGATAATAACAAAGTAGTATTTGTGTGAGAAAAATTTTGGTACTCTAACGTTTGTGTTTCTGAAGGATTAACAAACAGGCTCTGAATCTTATGGAAACCATGTGCAACGTCACTCTGAGTTGACCAAAAGTCGCTTCTGCGCTAAAGAAGCAAGTTTTCTTCTGATCTACTCACATTCAGAAAGACTCTAAGAAGATAATAGGTTGCTGCTGCAATGCTTTCTTGGATTCTTCTTCTAAGCATGACTCTAATGTTTTACTTCTGAAGGCTTTCTAGCTTATGAAGTCATTATCTTCTAAAGACTAAGTGCTGAAGACTCTGAAGACAATGTTTTGATGAACAAAGTTCTGAAGACTTAAGTTTTTGAAGACTAAGTGCTGAAGACTCTAAAGATAAGTTATGCTGAATAACGTTCTAAAGACTCTGAAGACTTAAGTTACTAAAGACCAAAGATTCTAAAGACTGAGTGCTAAAAACTCTGAAGACAAGGTTCTGGTGATCAAGTTCTGAAGACTCAAGACTCTGAAGACCCAGTGATTAACTTTTCTACTCATGCTTCAATCATCTCTATTCAGAAGCCTCTAATGTACAGAAGATAAGATCAAGCGTTTACAGGGGAAATAGTACATAGTACGTATCAAACACGTTCTATTCCACTATCCTGATTTGATGGTACAAAGGACAACTTTTGTGTACGATTTTCATCCCTGGGTAATGATATTATTTCAAGTCTCCAGCTCTCTCAAGGATATTCCTGATCTGCCCTCCAACAGATCTCTTACTGGATATATAAGGATTTGATCACTTGAAGAAAATACAACACACGATACATGCGCGTGAATAAATAAAGAACATAGTTCACAATGTATAAATTTTCTTTAAGTTATTTGAGCTATTTGAGTTATTCATAATGTTTATATCAGCTTGTGTAGAAGCAATTCTTTGTAAACATTTATTTCTCTCAAACAATTGTTTGTATTTCTTAAGTGGCCAGTTAGGTCAGAATCCTTAAGAAGAGACAGTTAGTCTTGTGCTTGTTAATCACCAACAGTTGCTAGTGCAGTGTAATCACTTGATTATAATGGATTAAGTTCTTGTGTATAAGGCGAAATTATCTTGGCGGGTGGACTGGATTAGCTTGATAGTTTTCAAGTGAATCAGGATATATCGTGTGTCTTTCTCTCTTGTTAGTTTATTTGTGATCTTTGTTTGAGTTTCACAAAAAGATTCCATTTTTGAAAACCCAATTCAAACCCTCATTTCTTGTGTTTTCTCACATCTTCACTTCATGCATCTCTTTCAATTGTTGTGGGAGCTTTGATAGTTTTATTTTTGCTGAATTCATCCACCGTCTGAGTTAATAACTTGTTTCGAGCAAGAATGGTATCATTAGTGATCAGTTCTATAACACAGTTCTTCCTTTTGGAAGTGTTTCTGTTGTATTGTCCTTGATGATCAGTAAACGTCATTTGCTCAATAATTACCCTTGCATCTTCTACACTTTTTGACATAGGAAAAAACCGCAGTAGTAGCATACAACAACAACTTTGGTTGATGCTGAAGTCCATTCCCGCGTATGTGTATCTACGTGAGTTCGCTAAAATCATGGTTTGAACATCGTCTTAGCATGGATTTGTACATTTCCCACGCTTCATAGAGAGTTTTTGTTGCACCTTGAAAAACATTGTTCTGTTTGTCTTGCCTTCCATGAATTTGTTTAAGATTTTTTCCTCTAACAAGTTTCAATTTGTTATCTTCAATTTGGGTTGATCTAGATACCATACATTTGCTTTTTCTAATTAGAGAGTATGAAAACAATCGTAGGAACACCGTTTCTTCCTCATTTTTGTTGTCGTTGTTCTTGTTCCTTTTGTTCTTGTTCTTATTCTTTTTATTTTTTTCTTGCTCTTGTTCTTGTTGTTGTTCTTGTTCTTATTCTTTTTATTGTTGTTGTTGTATTAGAAAATTTAATAATATATATATTATAATGGAAGTTCTCAATATGGTCAGCCAAAAATATGTGACAAAAATAAAAAAAATTGTACTAAGTGATTTTTCACCACAATTGGAATTTCCTACCGTGGTAAAAAGTGAACTGATTGATATTTTATCACGTTTGAAAGTTTCAGTCATGATAAACAGTGGGCTGAGTACATTTCACCAAATTTAAAATTTTCAACCATAGTAAAATGTGGAGTGTTATCCAATTTTTCACTTTTTATATTAGTGATGGTTGAAGAGTATACTTAAAGATTTTGATGAAAAACAAGAAGTTGTGACAATCAGTTGTGATAATAAACCAATCATTGATATGGAAATGATTGTTGGAATTGTTTTCTCCTTTGCTCTCTCCTTTAGCTATTTCCAAAAAGAATTTTTATCAAATACAACATGTCGACTGACAATCATTTTCTTATTCTTGAAATTGTAAAGTCTATAGTCCTTTGTTATAGCCAATAAATATCCCACTTAATTCTTCCATTTCATGCTTCAAACAGTATCATGTTCCATAAAAATCTTGTTAAACATCTATTCAGTAGCTACTCACATGTATTAACAACTTCATACCAAAATTCTTTAAGCATCATTTTCTCAAATTGAAGTAAGTGTGTATGGTACAACTTTTTTCATCCGTCCTATAATAATCAATTTATCTAACCATGTTACTCTGATGAAAAAAAAAGTATATAAATGAAAGGACATTTTTGTGAACATTAATGTATCCGAAAGTTTGATTGTGTAAACGCAACTTTTCCAATTCCACGCTTATAACTTGACTATTTCTTGATCTCACGACACGACCCTTGTCATTCCATAAACAAAACACAATCAACTTTTTTCAATTCTCTGATGGATTCTTCTCTCGCATCAGCTTCTTCTTCTTCTTCTTCTCAGCCAAGGCATACTTGGTTTTCTTTCCCTTTCATGCTGCCAACCATCAAAAACCTGCTAGCTTTGATAATCCGGAAGAGGCCAGTTCCCAATGAAAAGCGACAAGAGTTTCTTCCCTTGCAAAACGAAGAGAATGCAGAGTTTAGGATCAGTCCTTTTCTAGCTACACTGGCTTTCAACCCATACTTTGCTGCTATGTTGGGATGGTTTGTGGCACAAGTCACCAAAGTTTTCTTGAATTTCTTTAATGAGAGGAGATGGGATTTGAGACATATGTTTGCTTCTGATGGAATAATTCCTGCTACCCAATCGGCATTATGTGTTGCTCTTCCAACTTCTGTGGCTTTCTCTCGCGGTGTTTCTCATTCGCTCTTTCCTGTTTCTTTGGGATTTAGTCTCATTGTCATGTATGATACTCTTCGTCTTAGAACAAGATATGCTGCTGCTGTCTACCAGGCTGAGGTATTTATGCGCTTTTGTTAGTTTAGGGTTTTCGCAAAAGCCTGTTATGACCTGAAAATTGTGTGTTGGGATGGACACAGGTGGTTAATACGCTTCCAGCTATTGAAGAGAGGCAAGAACAAGATCGTGTTGGTTACACGCTACTTCAAAAATTCGTCGTTGCGATGGTTGGTTGCACGATAGCAATCTTCTTCTTGATCAAACTGTATGTTGGATATTGATTGTCAGCTTACTATTTGCTCTTATATAATGTCATTCATATGCAGCCATTTTTTCTTCCCTCTAGAGTCTTACGTTAACAGGGATAGATTTCTGTGGGTTAGGTCATTCTGTTTTGTTGGATCAAAATGTATTGAATATTGGTTGCTCTTATAATGTCATGCAGCTTTCTGTTATATTCAATATTGTGTTTGGATAACCTGTATGTACTACCTTTAATCAGTATGTGTGTTATGTTGTGGCTTATTGAATGTTAGTTGAGTCCTTTTAGTTTAGTGAAGTGAGGTGTATTGTATAGCAATAGGAGCTTTCACATGATAGGTATACTGTTATGAAATGAGAGATTGGTGAGTGAGTGATGAAATGGAGAAGTTGTATTCCGTTGGTTTATAGTAATAGGAATTTTGGTACAAATCATATGTGGGACTCAACCTAAGTGGCCGCTTTGGTGTGTAATAAATATTCACATTCCACACAAAGATATAATTTATGTGTAGAGTCATATTGTTGTAGAAGAAAGACCCTTACAACTATCTTCTATGTGTCCGCAAAGGGTATACTCTCAGTATAGCGGTGGTAAAATGGGTTTGGTTCGTTAGTCATTTCCGTTTTGTTTGTACTTTAGTGCGGGATGAAATATGGGTTTAGACTTATACATTCTAATATATTCATTCCACCCCCATTTTTTTTATGCAGATTGTTGCGGACACGAGTATTAAATAAAACTTTTATTTTTAAGCTTAAAAAGTGCAGTGCTCGCGGACCCATCCCTCCCCACTCTCATTTTATTACGGGGTGGGTCAAGGTTTTATACAAATATCATCAACTATGCTCGCCCCACCTCGTGTTGTTATTTTCGAGCTTTAGCGGGACAAGTCTAAACGGGATGCGCATACCCGTTTGTCACCCATATACCCTTATATAGTAACTCTGACTTGTCTTGCACGTAAATCTCGTTATAGACAATTTAACGTGATTTTTTCTGATTTGTATGGCCTCTTAATGGTGATTGAAAATCAAGCTTGATTTTCCAAATTCCAATCCATAATGTTCTCAATGAGCCATAAATGAGTTCTCCATCATTCTCAATCAAATATTGCTTTGTGTTAGTATTTGATTGGCATGATTAACCTGGCCCATCAGATACTTCAACCCAACCTTGTTTTTCTAGAAATCCTCATCAGTTGGAGCAAACCTTTTTGGGTCCAAGCACAACTTGGCCTACTCGAGGTAACCTGACCTAAAAAATTGAACATGTACACAACCTCTCCAGCATAAGTCGTGTAAGTGTTGGCTACCTTCATATGACATATCAAGAAATCATACACGTACATAACCCTCAAGAATGAGTCGTTTAAAGATGAAATGTTGTCCTAAGACATATTAAGAAAAATCAGACATATACACAACCCCCCAAACATTAATAGAGTAAGAGTGAAATACTTTCTCGAGACCTATTAGTGATTGTACGACGCCTCAATGAATGCTCTTTTTGGGAGAGCTTGTTCTAGTTTTTCTAGATGTCGCGGCCCTAAATGTGATCGACTAATGTTTGTTGGTTGTTGGACTGTTCCACTTACTGTAGTTGTGATAATGATCAAACTTCTTGAAACTTTAAGCTATTTATGACTTATCCATATCTCATGCAATTCAAAGAAGGTAGCTTTAAATGCAACCCCATGAAAATGACAATTGCAGGCCTGACCTTGAAAAAATTTCGCCCGCTACGCTTACGCACATTTGAGAAACAATTCAATCGGTTTGTATATAGAACTGAAAATTTATTTTGGTCAAGTTTTTAAACATTATGATGAAAGGAATGCATGCTATGATATGCAGATGATGCAAGCATCTTGATGAATGTATCGATTTATTGATTGCGAGGCAAAATTAGGGTGTGACAATTAACTATTTCAGCCAAATAGTACTTATTTCGAATAATATTACTTAATTATGTTTGCTTAATTAAAATAAAATACAAAATAATATTCCTTATGGGGCAGGCCCACTCACATTTGAAGGGATGCACATGAACCCCCTGACATTTAAAACTTTCTATTGATAATTCAATTTATTCTTACTTTGCATCACCTCACTTTTTTACTTTGCACCCTCAAAATTATTTGTTCTGTGTTTTGTGACCAATGTATTTTAATACACTACGTTTATTCTTATGTTTTTATTTTAATGTTGTTACTTATTTTCTGAATAAACGATAATTTGACACCTTCTAAATGTGCAAGTCATAACTTAACCTTTGGTAATTTGACACAGACTGTGCAGGTCATTACTTATTTTTTAAATAAATGGTGTTGCGGTGGAAATAGGATCACAAACTATTAATGAGTTTGAATCGCAATTCAATTCACAACCGCTCTTTGATTTATCCGAAGGAAAAGGTCAAAAGAGGGAAAACCTATTTTTGCATCGTAAACACAATGCGGGGAAAGATCTAGGGTTCGGGGGTTGGTTAAATTTAGGGAAGGTATTAGCACCCTAAACTTCCGTAGTACTCTACGGGAACCTTTTGTTCAGATGTTTACTATTTGCTTTATTTATTTGCTTAAGGTATATGTACATAAGGATTAAAAGTGAGAAAATAAACCTAAGGGGTTAATTCTAAGTTTACTCGGCAAGACATCGCATCTTGTGCCTACGTATCCTTACGGGAGTGGAATCAGTGTAATCGTAGTTCCCCTCAAAAGGGAGGTTAGAGATTTCTTGACAGTGGTCAAAGTCTCAAGGGGAATAAACGCATCTTAAGGACACGCTTACGTGGAGTGTAGAAACTCCGAATCTCTACGTTGAATTGTTGAGTGAATTAGGGTTAAATTAGGTTAGGGATTCCGCGACGGGAAACCCTAAAATGAGCGCGGCGGCTCTTTGACCTAATGCTAGGGGTAAAATTGTAATTTTGCCTGCGGCGAGGCATTTGTGAAAATTAGGGTTTGTGAGGTTGTAAGGTTGAGGACTATTGACACGGCGGTCAAATGCTAGACCTAATTCCTTCGGAGTGTGTAATGTGATAATAGCAGTACATCAGCAGAGATTTAAATCATACATCAGCAGAAACTTAAATGCGAAAAGTAAACGCGATTATTAGGTTCGCGAGGTTACATATGAGAAGCAGATACAAATATAAACGAAACTTGAATCGAGAAATAAAATAAACAACGGTAAACATGACAAGCTGCAAAACAAATGAACAATGTTAGTAGGCAAAATCAGGCAGCAATGAGTTACGAGAAGATGTAAATTGAGATTTTTTACTATTGTTTTATTTAAAAAGAAATAATGATTTAATGCTAGCTTACAAAAGAAGTTTTTTTAAAAAAGTGTTTTATTTTTGTATTTTTAAAAAATGGTTTTTCTTATTTTATTTATTTTAAAAAAAGAGTTTTTTCATTTTATATTTACAAAAGTTTTAATAAACAAAACTTTTAATTTTAAAAAAAGGTTTTTTATTATATTATAAAAGATTTTTACTTATTCCTAATAACTATATTTAAAAAGATTTCTTATAATTACAAAATTAAATGTTATATTTTTTATAAAGATTTTTTTTTAATATAAAATTAAAATGTAAAAAAAATGGTTTTTTAAAACATAAAACAAATAAAATTTAAAAAATAAAATGCAGAAAAACTAAAAAGGAGGAGGGGGTTGGGCCGGTCACCACATCCGGACCCAACCCGGTTAGTAGCTTAATTGAGAAATGATTAGGGTTCTGGGAACCCTAATACTCCTTCGGCGCCGTTCACACATTCATCTTCTCTCTTCTCTTCACCGTCTCTCTTGCTTCTCTTCACCATAATATCTCTCGTTCTTCATTTTTCTGCAACAAAAATAAACATGCAAGATGTTTTATGAAGAGGCGGATGATTTACGTTTTGTTCTTGCGCGCGATTGACGGCCAATGATGAAGAAATTCTGAGGCTGGATGGTTGGATTGCCCGTCGTTCTTCGCGAACGATGAAGGTGATCTCTCTGGGTATTGTTGATCGCGTTTGGTGGTTCCTTGAGCGGTGATGACAATTGCTTCGTCTGAGCTCGCGCCGTTTAGGGTTTTCGCATGTGACTTCTTCGCCGCTTCTGGTACTCTCCGTCTAGGGTTTCAACGATCTCTTTTTCCATCAGGTTGTATCCTCCCTTTTATAACTAACTTCTGGGCCTTTAATCCGTGTGGATATGTACTATTCTTCTGAGATTAAATTTGATGATTCGATTTGATTTGATTTCATTTGGTTTTTCCAGATTGAGTTCCAATAGGGTGCTTTTCTGATACGATTGGAATCTCGTTTCTTGTCTTGGAATCCTGATTGGGGTTTTGGTGAGATTGAAATCCATTTTTCTGGTATGAATCTGATACTGATTCGTTTGATTGATTCAAAATGAGTTCCAATAGGGATACTCCCTGACACGATTTGGATCCATCTGATACATGATTGAATCCTGTTTCCTCTTTTAGGATTTGATTGGGATTTTCTGATTCCCAGCTGATACGATTCTTCTGACCCTATCAGAATCTTTCTATTATTTTTCTGATATGGTTTGCCTTCAGATTGGATTGATTGATGTTTGATTTTGATTCACGGAACTCCTTGATGGATTCACTTTGATTTGTTTTGATTTTTCCCAGATTGAGTTCCAATGGGATACGATTTGGACCTGACTCGAAACTTTCCATTTCCAGATTCAATTTGATTTGATCATCTTCTGATTAGACTCTTGCAGATGTGAATTGGATTGCTTTTGGGGGATTTGGATACTGATTTGATTCCTGATGCGATTTTGTTTTGATTCAATCCTGATCATTAGCACTTACTTTTCTTTTTCTTCTTTCAGGATGGACACTTTGCCTTGGTCTTTGCCGCCGAGACGGGTACATGGTAGTGATGACGCTTAGTCTGAACCATTTGGAGCAGGATGCTACAATCCTGGTTTTTGCTTATGTTGCTGCTTCTGATTGAATTGGTGATGATGATTGGCTATCATATTGATG